AGTAATCTTTCAGAACATTTTAAGTGTAAAACAAGAATCAAAAACTAATGTGAAGATTTAGCTTCTTGGGATATACAGTGCAAAGCAAGTCATTCAGTTTTCCTGAAAATAAAATTAACTTTTTTCCTTCAAAGCTGAATTCAGAACATTAGAAATATTTCCCCATATTCCTATCTTTTAAAGCTGAGTCATATTCTGTCATCTCTAGGTTAGGATCAAAACTCCAAATGCCTTCGTGATCAGGCAGGTAATCTTGTACACTAAGTATTCTAGGGCCTGTGGAGGCTTGTGGGGAACTGAAGATCACTCACCCTGCCAAATGCCATTCACATTGCTTCCAAGAAAATTGCATTTAAAAGAGGGGAGGCGAGATGGCTGAGGACCTTAGTTTGATCCACAAGATCCCCGTGGTGGAGAGAACTCAACAAGTTGTCCTTTGACCTCCACATGTGTGCTGTGGTGCGTGCACACTCACACATGCCCACACCCACACATAAATAAGTATAATAAAAACATTTTTAAAAAGAAAATTGCCAGACGTGGTGGCACACACCTTTAATCACACCACTTGGGATGCAGAGGCAGGTGAATCTCTGTGTGTTCAAGGCCAGACTGGTCTGTATAGTTTGAGGATAGACTGGGCTGCATAGTGAGACCCTGTCTCCAAACAATTTTTTTTCCCTAAGAGAAAATTGCGGTCAGCTACATCCTCTAGAACCTTACTTATCCAGTCTCTGTTTTATTTATAACCAGGATAAAACCTTATACTGTCGTTATCACCACTAATTTTTCTTTTGAGACAGAGTCTCACTCTGTAACCCGGGTTGGCCTGGATCTCACTATTGCCATGAATTGATGGCAGTGCTTCTGCCTCAGCCTCCCAAGTACTAGAATTAACAGCATGAGCCACCAGGCTAGACTCATGTTTCCATATGTTTTTTATTGTCAATCAGTTTTAAGTTTCCTGTTCTGGAGGCTTTGATAGACTGAGTTCTACTGCAAATATGTCATTTAGCTTTGTGAAATCACTTTTTTAAAAAATACATCATTTAGTATTTATGAGAGAGGATGTGAGAGCGTGGGTGCACATGTTCTGTGACACACATGGAGGTCATTCAACCTTGTTTTTGAGGCAGGTCTCTCGTGTTGTTTCTGTTGCTGCGCTGCATATGCGTACATGAGCTTTTGGCTGATTTTCCCGCCTCTGTCTCCCATTTCACCATGAGGATTGGGATTATGGACCTCAGCCTCTGTGTCTGGGTTTTATTAAAAAATGTGAGTTCCAGGGATGGAATTCAGGTCACCAGCTAATATAGAGGTGCCTTTATCTGTTAAACCGTCTTGCTGGCCCTGAGATCACTTTTAATCTGTTTGGTGTCTCTTCACTCACATTCTGCTTGGCCGTATTTTACAATTGCCTCTTCTTCATCTTCCCTTTTTAGTCTTTCCATCTCTATCATTCTCTGATTTATTCTGTCTCTTTTCACACTGGAGTTTGCCATTTTAATTGGACCAGAACATGATATGCTAGTTTATTTTTGGACATGTTGATGCCCAGCCTAAAATAATGTCTTTTTTCCCTTTATTTCTACATAACATATTTTCTCTTCTTTTAATGCGTCATTTGATTGGTAAATATTTTAATGACTATGCATAAGACATTTCTTGCCAACTGATCTATGAAAGTTGAGTTAGTCACAAATTTATACCAGTAGAATTCAACATATAGTGGATAGTAGCTGAGAATATTTTCCTGCCTCGTTACAAAGGAAAAAAGTACTCCAATTGAGTATTATCTCTGTTGAGAACTCAGGTGTACTAATATCCTGGTACTTTGTTTTTATTGAGCTATAATCCACATGACATAAGTCTCACTATTTTAAAGTGTTCAACACAATTGTCTTATGTCATTTTTGTAATTAGGATAAAATTCATACCAGAAAGTTAAACATTAGCTGTTTTAAAGTGGCTAATTCAGCGGCATGTAGTACATTCACAATGTCTCTAGTTCTAAAATATTCCCATGGGCCTGTGAGATGGCTCAGTGAGTAAAGGCACTTGCTGCCAAGCCTGACAACCTGAGTTCAATCCCTAGGACTCACATGGTGAAAGGAGAGAACCAACTCCCAAAAGTCCTCTGACCACCACACCTTTGCCCTGGTACACACATACAAAATGTATATAAAAGAATTAATCTGAAAAATTTCCCTTTTTTCTTCTGTTTAAAACTACACCACATCATTCTTTTATGATGTTATTTAATGTTTAAATTATATTGCTGTACATAAAATATAATTTAAAAATACTATTCTCATATTCATTAAAAATGTAATAGTGTCATATCAGTGGGGTTGAGTCAGGACCAATAAATTCTCTAAGAAATAGATGAACATAGGGACTAATATGAAACATAGCCAAAGATGGTGTTTTGAAGAGTGTGGATCCATGAGCTCACCAGATTCTTAGAACATTTTCTTGCAAGGACAGTACCTGGTCAATGTTGGTGACTGCAATAGAAGATGGCACTAAGGGCCCTTTGCATGATAGGCACATCACTAGCCCAGCTCTTTTAATTTCGAGACAGGGACTCTGTAAATTTCCCCGATTGCTCTTGAAATTGTGATCTTCTTGCCTTAGTCTTCCAAGTAACTGCAATTATTGGTAAGTGCCAGTATGCCTGGCCAATATTTGTGACTGATCTGTATATTTTGAATACATCATTTCACTAAAACTCATTTCTAACCTGATTTATGGTAATTAATAAAGCTGCTTGTGTTAATTGGGCATTTTATTAGCTAATTTTGACATTTGTACTTCTGACAGAAATTTGCTAAACACTCCTGGAATGTATTTTCAGCCTCGTTTTTTATTTTATTGTTATAGTGTGTGTATAATGGAGGCATGTATGTGCCACGGCACATGAGGCCAGAGGACAATTTTGTCTAGTTGGTTCTTTCCTTCCACCCTTACATGGGTTCCAGGGATCAAACTCTGGTCTTCAGGCTTGTGTGGCAAGTACCCTTACCGACTGAGCCATCTTGCCAGTCCAAATGTGTATGTTTAAGTTGGGTAACTGAACACTCCTAAGGGATAGATTGATGTGCATATTGTCCATTTTCAATAACACAAAACTGACATCATATGTGCAATTAACTTTTTCTCTTTGGTCTTTTTGAGACAGAGTCTCCCTGTAGTCCCAGCTGACCTGGAACTCACTATATAGATCAGGCTGGCCTTGAACTCACAGAGATCCGCCTGCCTCCACTTCCCAAGTGCTGGGATTAAAGGCATGTGCCACCAGGCCTGGCCTGCACAATTAACTTTTAAAACTTCAATTATAAAACTGAGCCAGAGTCTAGGGAGTAGCCTTAGTAGGTAAGAATTAGAATCCTCAACACCCACATAAAAGGCTGGGTGTGACCACAGTTGCATTGTAAACCAGTGCTTTATAAGGGAGAGACAGGAGGATTGCTGGGGCTTGCTGTCTGTCAGCCTAGCTCTGGGTTTCATGACAGACCCTGTCTCAAAGGAATGAAGTGAAGTGTGATAGAGCAGGACACCCAATGTTCCCTGGTCTCTGTAAATACACGGATGTGTGTACCTGCACACACAGTGTGCACATACATACGCCACACATCATCTCACAATAAAATAAAAACTAATCAAATGTGAGAGGCAAAGTACATATTTAAATGGAGCTGTCAAGGCATCTGTCCTAGGTCAAGCTCTAAATCACAGTGTAAATTCATTGTTCCAAATATTGTCCTCAGTTCCCCTGGCCTTCCGTGTGAACAGCCCATCCTGTTGAGAGTGATTTCAAAGGTTAAGGACACATACTATTCGAGGCACATGGCACCTAATCATAAAGACTATTAAAACTGTTTTCCAGAAGAGGTACAACTGTCACCTCATTCAACATGAGAAAAAGGATTTGTTTTTCTTTCTGAAAGATACAGTTTTCCAAAGTGGCTAAGGAATTTTCCAGAATATTTTTGACCGTCTCTGATTTTTACCATAACCACTTTAGAATCTACTTCATTTCCCCTCTTCACATGCATGTAAGATGTTTAGGTCTAGTGCTGAACTAGAGTATTTAGATTCCTAGAGAAGTATTAAGCAGAGTACCCTTGCTTGTAGAAGACTTTCAGGTCTGGCATTTTTGGAATTACCTCAAGGCAAGCATCAGTAAGTAGGATAATTTTATTCCAGAACCAAACTAGTGATGTGTTATTTTAGTGGGGAACCCCAAAACTTTGTTCATATGTGAGAAAACTATGCCTCTGACATACACATTTTGAATCCCATTTTGAGATTCCAAAGTCAGGCAGAAATTTACTTTAATATAATTTCTTTGTTCTAGCTGGGTGTGGTGGCGCATGCCTGTAGTCCCAGCATTTGGAAAGCAGAGGCAGGTGGATCACTGTGAGTTCAAGACCAGCCTGGCTACACAGTGAGTTCCAGTCCAGCTGGGGCTACAGGGAGACCTGTTTCAAAAAGACATATATATAAAACAAACCAGTTTTTTTTTTTGCGACAAAAGTTTCACAGTGTTTTTCTGGCTGGCT